AGATAAATGACCTATTTTTCGACTAAATGTTAGCCTACAGTCAAATCGGCAAGCCTGGTTATTGGATCCCATGTACATACGGACGTGTTAGTTTCTTGAAGGTAGCGTAAACAGACTGTCCTTGACAATGACATGCACGCTTCGGATCTATAACCATACTTTAACAATGAGTCATACCAACCTAGTTCAGTGAAATTCGGTGATACTTATGCACAGGGGAACACTATCCACTCTCACACGCCCATGTGGTAATGTAGGGACCATCTTGGAACCGTACAATGGACTGTATGGGATGAAAGGGATTAAAAACATCACAGTAGACATGCAAATGCATACACTGACTTCGGCCTTTGTTTTTATCGCTTCACTTTCAGTCGATGGGTGAAGAATATTTTGTAAATTGCCTGAGTTAAAAAAACGTCAGTCATTTTACAGACTGACTAATTTTCAACAGATCGTAACACGTTCACGACAAATTGTTTCGAACACATAAATTATGGGGGCGGTGGGGTAGCCTAGTGGTTAAAGCGTTGGCTCGTCACGCCGAAGACCCAGGTTCGAATCCCCACATGGGCACAATGTGTGAAGCCCATTTCTGGTGTCCCCCGCCGTGATATTGCTGGAATATTGCTAAAAGCGGCGTAAAACCAAACTTAGTCAGTCAGTCAGACATAAATTATGATTTTCGCTGTTCAGTCATGACGTCATGTTTTTAGTCGAGATGCATGTTAATTTTAATCTATATCTGTGATATTGTAGCTGTTTTACTGTCCTTTGTTGACAGGTATTTATATCGTCTTTTTTATGAGTATTCCCGATATGGCTGAAATACTGCCGATGTGACTATAAATTTTAACTCACTCACTCAGTCATCGTGACATCATCTTCATCATTCCCAAACATATTCCAAAATTCATCACCACTATCGATTATCTGACGAAACAGATTCCACTGGACGTACATTTCTAGTGTCCTCTGTCGTTATTTTGATGGTATATTGCTAAAAGCGGCGTAAAACTATACTCACTCACTCACTTGGCATAAACAGCAAAACTATACTCACTCACTGGATGTAAACAGTAAAACTATACTCAGTCACTGGATGTAAACAGCAAAATATACTGATGTACAAAACAAGTACACGCCTGGTGTTTTGAGACTATTAAAACAACGTAAATATTTTGCTAGCAATGTTCCAATTGGGTACGATATCTATGGTGTTATTGCAACAAGTACACAATGTTTGTGACTTGTGAGTCGCAATCAAAACACTTTTCTAAATATTACGCTGTTTTCAGGAAAACATTTTACCAAAGCATCAGGTGTGTACTTTCTTTTGCACGTCAGTTTAGAAGTTACTAAGTTGTGAATGGGTCCGTAGATATCAGTACGGACACCAGGTGTCCTACCCTACCGGCAACACCCGTCACTAACACAATCAATGAGTATAGGTATGCCCCACACAGGTGTACCCCTGTCATGTGACGATGACCCGCAAACTATTTGATGTTGGACTTCAATGTTAACTTGACATTCCGTTGTGGCGTTATCTGTGACTCATGGTGCCCCCTGTGAACCTGATACCGTTACAATGATACCGTATCAGGGTTTTGTTCAGGTTTTATTAAGATATTAAAATTAACGTCAAAACGATCTCTCTAACGTTTATTGTTTAACAAAGCACTCTGCAATATTCCAGCTGTGTGACGAGGTTTGAAAATAATCAAGCCTCGACAAGACAATCCAGTAATCAGTAGCATGCGATAAATCTAAGAAGTTGGAATTACGATGACTTGTGCCAGCCAAGATGAAGATCAGTTCGGGTTTATTCTTGTGAAATAATAATAATAATAATAATAAGTGCATTAATTTTGTTATGGGGTGTTTCCATCCGTTGCGATTGCTCAAAGCACAGACAATCTGATTATTATTACTCCGGATAACCCAAGCTGCCTGGGAGGCGCTAGAAGGTTAATAATTACATGACTGATCCAACCGGGTACCCATTTTCTGCTGGGTGAAAAGTGGCAATTTTGAACAAACTCACTTGCCTATAAGGTGAGACCACATGTATCACATGTGTTTCGTTATGGGGTAAGACTGAAGTCCTAGAAACTCTCAGTAGTCAAGCTGCCAAACACGGTCACCCATCCAAGGACTTAACGTCAACTGATTTGTGACCTCTTACAAATAGAACAAAACAAACAACAATAAAATCGTAAGAAATGTTTGGGATTTTTATAAATGATTATGAAATAATGCTACGAAGAGTGTTTACATCCTGCTCCCCGGTGGTATCCTTGCAAACACTGTTCGACTGATACTGGACCCGTGAAGATCTGTGAATTGATCTTTAGTAGTGAGTGCGTGAGTATGGTTTTACGTCGCTTTTAGCAATATTCCAGCAATATCACGGCGGGGGACACCGGAAATGTGTCCACACAGTGTGCCCATATGCGGTCTCGAACCCGGATCTTCGGCGTGACGAGCGGACGCTTTAACTACTGGGCTACCCCACCGCCCCTGATTTTCAGTAACCTATGCTTGTCGTAAGAGGCGACTAACGGGATCGGGTGATCAGGCTGGCTGGCTTGGTTGACACATGTCATTGTTTCCCAATTGCGCAGATCGATGCTCATGCTGTTGATCACTAGAATGTCTGGTCCAGACTCGATTATTTATAGACCGCCGCCGTATAGCAAGAATATTGCTGAGTGCGGCGTAAAACTAAACTCACTCACTCACTCTCGTAAGAGGCGATCCGGTGGTCAGGCTCGCTGACTTGGTTGACACATGTCATCGTATCCCAATTGCGTAGATCGATGCTCATGTCGTTGATAACTGGATTGTCGATTATTTACAGACCGCCGCCATATAGATGGAGTATTGCTGAGTTCGGTGTTAAACTAACCTCACTGATTGACGCCGAACACATCAATATTGCAGCTATATTATGACAGGGCAGCCTAGTGGTTAAAGCGTTCGCTCGTCACACCGAAAACCCAGGTTCGATTCCCCACATGGGTACAGTGTTCGAAGCCCATTTCTGGTGTCCCCCGTCGTGATATTGCTGGAATATTGCTAAAAGCGGCATAAAACCATACTCACTCACCCACTGAAACACTCGATTCAGGTCTACGTCGTAATAAGAGCCTAACGGTAGAAGCAAGGAAACTGCTTTGAGGAGTGAAAGTTCCATAGTCTTGACCCCGTTAATCTGTAACCCCTGCTTTCCGGAGGGATGGTGATGGGAATGTGTGCGTAACTAAAGCTGCATTTCAACGTATTCACGATTCGTTGAATCTAAACAGTTTATTGCAAACAACTTATCCATAAACGAGAAGACAGTGAAAGAGGGTATCATTACAGAAAACGGTATGAAAAGAAACTCGAACAAAAGCTTCCACGCTCTGCTTCCAACTCGTCAATAACACACCGTCTCTCGTCGTAGTGTTGTGTCATCAGTCACATGCGCCTCCCTGTATTCAGGTTTAGGCGTTCACTCGTTACATTAGATTCCCCGCACCCAATGTGTGAAGCCCATTTCAGGTATTATGGATAAATGTGAAATATACACAGTAAACCGCGTTAATAATGAATTGTCTGATATCACATACAGTTTGGTGACAATGTCACTTCCTAATTCTATTCGAAATGCGTATTAAGAACTATAGTTATGACGAACTAAGTTAAGTACTGGCTCCTTTGAGTTCGATATAACCGTAGTGTACTGTAGCCCTTGTCTAAATGTAATGCTATTTTTAGAGAATGGTAAGAACATACCTGACGGTCTTGAATGAGGTTGTAGGGCATGGTTTGGGGGAGCGGCACAAAGTCAGTGGAGTGAGTGGATTTAATTTTACGCTACATTTAAGCAATATTCCAGCAATACCACGACAGGAGACACCAGAAATGGGCTTCACACAATCTACCCATCTGGGGAATTGAACCCGGAACTTCGGAGTGACGAGCAAACACCTTAACCACTAGGCTATCCCGCCACCGCTCAAACTGGATGGAAATAACTGCCATTTGTATTCTCCTTACAAATCTCGGATATTTGGCGTGGTGGGAAATGTCCTGATTACCAACAAGTGAGGATCTCCTTCCATGTAAATCTATTATGTATACAAACTATTTTTTCGCCGATGAATCAACTACTATGAAATAGCGTAGGGGAGTTATGGTCTAACGCCACATTACCCAGTTTACAACATTTTAACAGCAAGGTGACAATGTGTGAGAGAGAGTCCAATAATGATATACTAGTAGATTGTAGTTACAGCCTCACGTGTACATAATACTATAATAGCGACAAAACACCGTCCATAGTTACAAGCAATCTAACGGGTACGGCCCAATCACCAGAATGTGTTTATGAATCATGAAGAAAGTGATGACACCAGGTGTTTGCGAAAAGAATAGCGTATCCTGCCCCTGCGGTTTCAAGTCACAAACACATGCAAAGCCAAGTGAATTGTTCATCTAGTAAAAACGTCCACAGGAACATGAGATGCATGGCAAAATACTGAATTAAATCGGACATGATTTATATCTCGGAGCGTCAAATTTGCAACGTCTGACATAGAAGAATTAAAATTCTTTACAGAGGCCTTGGGTCCTGTAGCCTAAATCCGCAAGTAATGTGACCCTCTTGAAAATTTAAGAATCATACACAAATTCGAACCGTTCTCTTAATGACATCCAGATAGTGAGGACAGTTATCACGACGCCCTTTAACTGTTAACCGTTAACATCAGCTGGGGTTGTTAATGTATACATTAACCGGTCTTGTCACACACATACATAGTCTTTAGAGAAAATAGCAATGACTGACACGCGACATCCAGCTGAAGTCCACATAAATTATATAGGACAAATTGCGACATGACAGGTAGTCACACCTTACAGTACAGCCGTCTATATTCTACCCCTTGAAAAAACGTGGCGACAACATGTTTGACATTCCGATCCCTAGAAGAGTGTTCAAATGAACCTACCTTACATCTGAGGGTACAGTTCGGTAGGGAGGCACCCCCAAGCACGAAGGAAAGCACGAGGACGGCGAGCGTTAGGGGTAGGGCAGCCATCACCCCCAACCTCCTCCGCTTTGACAGGTAAACTTGCGTTCGGGTATATCTTGGCGCGCTGTCAAATAATCCAGACATGCGCAGTAAGCTGGTATATCCAGGTTAGAGTTCAGCTGAAACCGACCCGTCACACGTGTGGGGTATCTCTTGTAATACACTCAGCCGTTGGCATCATGCTGAACATCTATATCACAACGCACGTGTGAGTGTACACATGACTAAATGCCCTATCGCTTTCCTGGAAAATCCGCTCAAGCTAGAGCTGTCACCATATCCGTGTTATCAAATGGGAAGGTCCACGTGATTGTCCACATCCATTGAAGGTTATCCAGTGCTAAAGAGACATATAGAATATTATATTTCAGTTGTGTTTGTAAAACCGACAGATGTTTCTTGAACACAAAATGCCACGGACAAGATTTTTTTTGGTCACATTATTTTATGTAATTTTATTAGACATTATTTAGATATTTATTTTAATGGGGGTTTTTGGGGGTTTTGGGGGTTCGGGGGTTGTTTTAAATATTGTATCTTGCACTATTTTTTTCAAAATTGCAAATTGGATGTTTTGTTGTGTTACCTTTTTATTGTGTGTTATGTTTTTGTTTGGTTGTTTTGGGGTTTGGTTGTTTGGGATTTTTGTTGTATCTATTTTTATTTTTTAAAGTTGTTTTTGTTGTTTTGTTTTTTGTTGTTTTTCCACTTGGGCGGTGTTTTTTTATTTGAACGAACATAACTGTCAGATATTACGATGATAAATTTAAATGATCTTATATTTACAATATACATAATTTATTTTATTGTATGTAATATTTAATAATCATATCTTGAACAGTTATGAAAAGGTGAAAACGATATTGGAAACGTGCGCGAAAAACGAAGCTCTCAGTCGTTTACGATGGTATAGAAGACGAGGAGCACGTAATACTATGATGTCGTCTGCATGAAACCAAAAGAGGAGTGAGTGAGTTTAGTTTTACGCCGCTTTTAGCAATATTGCAGCAATATCAAAGCGGGGAACACCAGAAATGGGTTTCACACATTGTGCTCATGTGGGGAATCGAATCCGGGTCATCGGCGTGTCGAGCGAAAGCCTAACCACTAGACTACCCCACCGCCCCCGAATGAGAAGAATTAATTAAAAATTCTGAGAAGCTGAAGAAAATGTTCATAATTTTGCTGATCGTCGGAAAGGCGGTTTAATTCTGTCTACCCAAGTAGTCATATATTCAAGAGCCAAAACCTGCTTTAAACATCTCTGTTTTAATAGTCTCTTTATAGAACTTCTCTCATAACCCTGTATCGGTTGGCTCGTTACATTTTATACATGTATACTTTTACATACGATATGGGTTTTATATATAAATATCTGTGTTTTTATAAATATGTATAAATCACTGTAATGAGGTGAGACTATAATAAATTATCTGTCTGTCTGTCTGTCTACGACCGAGACTGACTATTACACAAGCTATCTGGATGCATTTGTGTCATGGGAAATGATGGTTTAACACCCTGGTGGTGTTGGGTGTGTATACACTGTAACGCTACCTCGGTAACCCCTGTACGTGACAACTACACCTCGGTAACCCCTGTACGTGACAACTATACAACATAATGCCCAGGTTCATATTAACATGACATTAATACAGAATGAAATGAGGCAGGACACGTTTGTATTGTAGATGATAAAAGGGAATATATTTGTATGAGTAAAAGGGTGTGGCAACCGTATGTCCTTGCATACCACCAGCATGCATTGTATACTCATTCCCATAAGAAACGCTTTAACAGTAATGCTTTTCTACATCAACACAACATCGTAACTATCATGTTCGGATTGAAAAGAAAATTTTCAGAACACTGAACTGAAAGTATTATTATTGAAATTGAATATATGCAGAAATAATCATTGTGCTTCTAAAATATTTTGAGAAACTGAAACAATTCTGTTAAAACACAATTTTATGTTACTTTGGTAAATATTCTTTTGACTCTGTAGACTAACTATTACTTTTGAAGCGGGTGGTCGAGTTGAACAAGTTGATTTCATGTATGATAGCTGGTTCGATTCCCAGATTTGCCATGGTTTTATTTCGAGGTGTGTCAGCATGAGTTTGTGAGTTTTTCCAAAAATGTTTATAACCGCGATAATAAAAATGGTAAATTGGCATCGGGAATCGCAGCTGCCAAGCTGACCCAGTCGCCGTGACATAAACCAGAGACTGTTAAACAGGCCTCACACCCAACTCACTCACTAACACACTACGTCAACCACGTCGAACATTACGTCCCAGAAAATGAGTGTGATAACGCCAGACTTGTTTTGTGTATCAACATGTATTTTATTAGTTACTTTCATACTTTCATAAATGAATCATACAATATCAGCAACGAAAATCAGGAAAAGGAAAAAATACTTTTCATGCATATGAATATTGGACTCATTTGCATTCATATTTTTAATGCGGAATACATACCACCACCACCACCACCACCACCACCTGCAGCTTGTGTATTTGAGATATGCAGAAGTATCGGCGAGCTGGCTAAGGCGCCAGGCTAGTGATCCAGCAAGGTTGAGGTGCCGGGATCGAGCTCACCTGTGACCGGGCGTAAAAACCTTGGAGTCAACTGTGTGTGCAGACTCTTTCAGTGTTGTCACAACCCCTAGTGTACAGTACACAACCCTGTGCACTTAAAAGAGCCCACGAATCCGTTGGTATATGACCAGATGGTGGCCACATGAATACGTGCAAACCCCTAGTTGCGGGTTCAGCAACGTGCAGTGAACTTGGACAAAGTACTGTGACTAAGTGTCCCAGTCCACCCAGCTGTGAATGGGTACCTCGTTGGGATGAGAAAGCCACTATAAGTCGTTGGGCCTAGTGGAAGCAAGAGTCGTATATTCCCAAGGGAGTTGAAATTGATAATACGATGTACCGTGGAGATTGACATCCAATGATAGAGGGAAAAAATACCAGCGCCTTGAGCATGCACCAGTTGGGTGGATTTGTGCGCTATATAAATATACTATAATAATAATAAATAAATAAACAGTGCCAGCTTGAATATCTGCACACAATGTTTTTGAAAGATTAAAATGGGGTGCCCCCGTCTAAATATAAATCAAGCAATCCAAATTTATGAATGCTGATTATGACGGGAAGTCACCTATACTATACTGAACATATTTAATATGATATCATCTGAGGTCATACCATTATCCAAGAGGTACCAGATGACAGATCGTTTTTCATTTGTAATGCGCTGGATTCCGCACCACGGAGGGGCACGCTCAAAGCGCTACAATCTCATTACTATTACTCCGGATAATCCGAAAAGCCTGTGAGACGCTGGAAAGTTAATAGTCACATGATTTATCCCCCCGGGTACCCCTTTTCTGCTGGGTGAACAGAGGCAACTTTGAACAAACTCACTTGCCTAAGGTGAGACCACATGTATCACATGTGCATTGTTGTGGGGCAGGACTGAAGTCCTAGACACTCTCAGGAGTCAACCTATCAAACACGGTCAGCCATCCAAAGACTCTCCGCGCTCAAAGCTGCTTAACTTTGTTACGCACAGGACCACACGCCACCACCATTTCGAGTCGAAAATGTTCCTTCGGGTCGCTGACAACTTGCTGCTTCAGTGTGACGTACTTATGAAAATAAACAGACGCGATTTGTTCAGTGAAGCCCGGCTTCAATATACTTGTCTCTCATTTCAATTCAAACACAATGCATGTTCGTACAACCAAAAGTTGAGTGAGTGGGTTGAGTTTTACGCCCCTTTTAGCAATATTCAAGCAATATCACGGCGGGGGACACCAGTAACGGGCTTCACACATGTCCACCCATTGAGAAATGGAACCCGGGTCTTCAGCGTGACGAGAGAACGCTTTAACTTACTAGGCTTCCCCCACGGGCCCCAGGTTAGCTCTGACTGTACCAGCATCGCGTGAGAGCCTTACAGTGTTAATGCATGACCTGTATTTGCGACATCCTATACGTGCATGCAGCTGTCATTGTTGTGAAATCTCGTTAACGACGTAGAATGAGGGATGCAACATTATACGATAAACATATGCACATTGACATAGTTGAGATTTTTTATTTTGTTGATCACTCATAAAACAATGGGATGACCCTGAAATTAACTAATGTCAGATAAAGGTGATATATACTCCATGGGCTACTGAAAGTTTGAAGTTATGTTATAAAAACTCGGACGGCTGATTTGTGACCCTCGTGTTTGTACTGCCTTAGCCCCATATGCTGTCCTGGCTACCATGCTCCTCGTAACAGTCCGCCAATGGTCTCTGGGTTGTAGTTGTTGTCGCCGCACAACGACGGTGTGATATCAACATGAACTTCGATCTCTGCAGTTTGGGTACGATGACGTGTGTCAACCCAGTCAGCGAGCCTGACCACCCGATCCTGTTAGTCGCCTCTTACGACAAGCCTGTGTTGCTGAGGACCAATTCTAACCCGGATCTTTATCGGTTTATACATGTTTTTAAAAAAATACTAGGGATCCCAAAGTAGGCCTTTATTGATTTCGGGAGCTGTAAAGTGGGTCAGCTGGGATGAGATGGAGAAGGCAGTCGGATGGTTGTTTTAAAGTTTGCTCTGGGTGAGTGAGTGAGTTTTGTTTTTCGCCGCACTCAGCAATATTCAAGCTATATGGCGGCGGAATTTGCTCTAGGACATGCGCGGATCATGAGGGGGGGTGCAACCCCCCCAAGAGTGTTCCAAATGTACTACATGTTTTCTGCCCAGGGTTCCGAGGATTTGGGGTGCACACCCCCCACCCCCCAAACGAAAATCCTGTATCCGCCCCTGCTCTAGGATATATGTGTGTCATTTATAGACTTGTCTACAGGTCAAGGTGAAGTAGGGCTGTGACAACAATATTCACTTATGTTTAGACATCCTTCGCTTTATTCGTGAGGTGAGGTGAGGTGAGGTTTTACGTCGTGCTTGAGAATATTTCGCTCATATGACGACGTGCATGCGTGTGTATGTGTATGTGCGGCTGCTTGTACTAGCCCAGACTTAAGCTGGTTTTATATTGCTAGCCCACTAAGATACCATGCCGCAGTGAAGCATGAATATCCCACTCAGACACATTATACTGACTCCGAGCCCACCACTCCTTGTTGTACCCATTAATGCCGAGCGCCAGGCAGGGACCAACAAGTACCATATTT